AAGCCTATCTGACAAGGATCCACATTTCTGTCAGTTGGCAATAAGGGTATTTTTGATTACCTATTAGCCAATATTTTTAGAAAAAGAGAAGTTAGACATTAAGCATTTGTTCCCGAAATTCATTGACTTAAGCAGTGCTTTGTTTTGTTTTTCTTTTATATTGAACAAGTAAACATTTAAATATTTTTGTGTCAGCATTAGATTATACATGGTTCTGAGTTCTCCTGCTGCTCTCTGAACCCTGACTTAGTGATTTTCTTTTTGCTTGGTTTCCTGTCAGTACTGCTTGTAAAACTGAGGGGGATTTCTGGAGATGGTTGTTTAATTCACCCATTTTCTGGAGAGCCATAAGCTTCTCTTGCCTGATGGATATTCCCTTTGTGTATCTAGGCATTCCCTCATGAAAGAAGCACAACTTTCTAACTTTCAGAGAAAGCAACCTGGGTGTTCAGGGCTATGGGGTGGAAAAGTTTGTTGGGCTGTGACTTTGCTTTTCTGTGGAAGAGAAGTCACAGCTCTGCCTTCTTTACTGGCCGTGACAGAGGTCTACAGTTGCTTATGGGACTTTGGGGATATGGTGAGGCCTTTTCTGTTGAATTTCTGTGTAATTCCAAACAGTGTGAACTTTTCAAATCACTTGAGAAGTGCCCCAGATGGTGTGACATTCTGCTTCATGGGAAGATTTGAAAGTATTCCCTTTGCATACTCTCTGGTTAACTATTTCATTACGTTTGAAATGGGAGAACACCAAAGCCAAGAACTCTGTTGACATTTTGGTGGTGTTTGTTTAACCTCCTAGTGCACAGGCTACATTTGTTGAAAAATATTATTCTTACCTTTGCAAATCATCAGTAATTAATTCCCTTGGATATATCTACTGCTGCACACAGCCATCTTGGGAGGCTGCTGACAGATCACAGTTTTACATCAGGTGCTAACAAATTGATTATTAAATTTCATAACTAACTGATTTATAGCAACAATTTAATTTCTGTATCTCTCTAATGTATTCACTTACTGTATTTTCAAATAGTGCAGAGGAGTTGGATTGCTTAGTTGCTTCTAATGGTAAATTGTGCACAGCATGTGAGATCTGAATGACTTCCCCAGTGCAAAGGTTAGTAAAGTGTCACAGGCTTTGTGAAGTGCACAGAATATTAGCTGTGTTTCAGCTCAGGTATTCACATGTAAGATTGTCCTGGCTAATTCTACATGCTTTTTAATTTTCACTAAATTGTAGGTACACTTAGCAGCATGGTGAGGGTTTTCTGGGATTGCTGTGTACCTTGCAGTTGGAGCAGTGTTTTCCTGAGTCTCAAGGAGCAGAGACTACCTGATATAACAGAGCAGATCACATTCAGGTCCCAGTGCCCACCTGGGTGGCACTGGTAGCCCACGTTAGCTCCCTTGGTGGGATGTATGTCACTGCCTGAAGACATTTTAAGGAGACACAGAGGCAAATTTTCACAACACTCTGCAGGGTCTTAGCTGTAGTGTTTCCAAAAATGAATGTCATGGTTAAAGGGAGCACTTGGTCATATTGATATCAGGAGTAAACACTATAGAAAATTTCCTTTGCTGCTGACATCCTTTGTTGGCCTTAGCTGTGCCTTTGATGTAGAATTACAAACTATTTTAAAGCGAGGGGGGATTTTTTTGGGGCTCAGGAGGAAGCCTCATGCAGATCACAGCAATGTTTTTAATGAACTTGTGAAATCAAGGTCACAGCTTTGCCATCACTTGAAAATACTCCTGTCATAAAGCAAAGCTGCAGTGCCAGATGTGTGGTGTGAATTGTCACGTATCTTAAAAATTTTGTCCCTGCATAATGATACTTTCAGTGACACAGAGCTCTGCACCATTGAGATTAGAATCTGTCATCTGTGGCTGAAATTCATAACTGCACAGTGGCTGTTACCCAGGTAATCTCATTCATTTCCTGGTGTGCAAATGGCCGGGTCACAAAAACTTAGATGACAATTTTCAGTAATTGGACCTTTGTTAGCAGTCTGACGAGAGACACCGATCGCTTAATGGACATGGATCCAAATCTGAGAGGTGGCTTTCCTCTGAGAAATGAAATGCTGAAATGAAGCACAACATCAGTGTCTGTTCATACAACTCTTTAGGTTTCTTTTCTATAGAGTTATCTAGGAAAAAAAAAATTCCTTTTTTGTTTAGCATTTTAAACCACTAGTGCTAATTAAAAATAAAAGAATTCTAAAAGGGAATCTGATACTAACTTTTCAGTACTATAACTGTTTAAGATGCTTCTGTGTTATTTTTTTTCTTTACAAATTTTTTATAATAAAATATTGTAAATAATGTTAATTTTACAGTCTCTTAAATCTGAATGACTTTTATTTTGAGAAAATGAGAAATGGACTTTGAAAAATACAAATCTCATAAAAAGCATAATTTTATTTCTTTTATAAATTCCAATTAAATGACCTAAAAATTAAAATTTATCATTTTATAATTCTAGAATCTTCTTTTTAATTCATTGAGCTGGCAGATTTAGGTATAGAGCGTGTATTTCCCTTCTGGTAGTTATTGTGTAATTACTAATAATGAAGGATACTACAGTTTGGATAGGTGGAATATGTGAATCCTTTCAGTCTGTGATTTGTTACATCCTAGTGCACATTACAATTATCAAATAGAATGATGATCTTTTAAAAAGTGTCATATTTGTTTTGCAGGGAATGTTGATGGCATTTTTGGTTTTGCTGCTGCATTCATGTGCTGCAGCTCTCATACAGGAGGCTCTTATACCAGAAATTGCATCTGTGTTGGAGAAATTTGTTCCTTTTTTCCCAGCAGATGTACAAATCTGTAAATTAATTCTTGCTAGAGCTTTTCATAAAGTCTCATAAGAGGTGATGAATCATCCAAAGTTCCATGCCCTGTCAAGCTTCAAGCAGCTTTGTTTTCCTCTTGGCAGATGCATCTCAAAACAGGCAAAATGAACTCTGGTTTAAATCATTTTGATTAAAAGTGCCTCAAAAGATCTGTTACCTTCTAAAGAATATGATCCTGCACAGCTCAGTGAATAAAGCTCCTGCTTGTGCTGTGTTGAGTGAGGCTGCAAAGATCAAAGAGCTGCCTTTTTTTTGCCATTTGGTTTGAACAGAAGGAACTTTGCCTTTGTAAGGACAGTCCCCGTTTATCTTCAGTTCCTTTTGTGGGTGCAGTATGCATGCACAGATATTCTGTGTGCGGGTGTCACTGCCCAAAAGGCAAATCAGAAATCCAGCACTTCAGACACTGAGCCTCTCTAAGTGCACAGATGTTTCACTCTGCTTCTGGAGCTTTTGGTTAAAATTGTACAAGCTGGCAAAGGAACAGATAATAGATTGTTAACTTCTTATTGAGGCACACTACACTGGTAACTTCCCAGTGGGCTGGAAGTTAAAATTTATTTTAATAAGAAAATACAACCTACGCTTTATGTCCATCCTTATGCATTTCTTTCAGCATTCAGCTAATGTGTGTTGGATTCCCGCTGAAATGTTTTTTTGAAAACTGAGCTATCAAAATCTGGTGCTTTCAAACTTGCCTGAAGGAATATAATTACTTAAGTTTGTTGACAACCTGGGGCTTCGTGTTTCATATAATTATCCAGAATTCCTTCTGCAGATGCTCAGAGTTGCAGTATTCCTGTCCTTCAGTCATGTGGGGAAAGGTTCTGTGTCTCCTGCCGTTCTATGTGTGTAGGGCTGTGAGCTGGCACTTGAGAAGGACAGAGGGCAAGCAGTTATTCCTAATTGTGCTTCATTTATTACCTTCAGAATTAGAGTTTGAGCGCTGATTTTGTCTCATGGGATTGCAGTAAAGACATAATAGGATGGAATAGCCTAAACAAATGTGACAGATCTTAATATTCTGGTGTTGGGACATCACAAGTGTTAGAGAAGGAATTTTTGGCTGTCGTTATTTTGTGTGACTTTTCCAAATTAAATATACCAGGGTGAGGGACGCCAGGTGCAGGCTCTCAAACCTGAGGTTCTCAGCTCAGGTAGAGCTGTGCTGCGTCAGGCTCTGACTCAAGGACAAGAACTCGTGTCAGTGCCAAGGTTTGCTCAGAGATGATGCAATCTAGCAAATGCAGATCCATCTGAGGTCCGAGGACCAGAGACTTTGCTGTGTTTCGTAAGGGTTTGGAAAAAGACAAGAAAGAACAGAAAGGGCGTTTGTCCTTGATCTTGCTGTGGAGGTTGGGAAGGCTGCAAGGTGCAGTATCCTGAGATTACACTGGAGACCTCAAGGAATTTGAAGTTTTCTGGACCTGTTTTTTGAATGAGAGAGGTATGTGCCAGCCTAGGTTCTTCTCTAGCTTAGTTTGGTGGAATCTTTCCCTTTCATTTCAAGTTCCTTTATCATGGCATTTCTATTTAAACTGGGTTAGGTGAGTTCAGTGAGGAAGGATTCTGTCTCAAGGATCTCATATGTATTGTGTACAGATTATCCACCAAAGAATACAGCTTCTGGAGAATGTCTTTATTTTTCCATCTCAGTCTTGCATTTTTCAATAGCATACTTCATCAGCTGTAGAAGTATGAAATGTGTACATGTGCTCTTTTGCACTGTGTCTTTGTTTCTTAATTACTTGTCCCCTACCAGGTGTCACATACCCCATAAAAGAAAGTGGTAGAAGTTGCTCCTTCCCCAGGAAAAGTTTCTTTCCTAAATGCTCCAGATGGAGACAGTTTCCCAATTGGCAATTGGGAGAGCAGTGATAGGGCTGTGTGCCATTTTGCCTTTTATTTATTTTTATTTTATTATTATAATAAATATATTATTATATTTATTTGCCTTCCTCCAAGGGTGTGTCACTGTGGGGCTTAGCTGCAGCCTGAGTGGATCTGCTGGAATTAATTGGAATCAGCTCCTTCCCACAGAAACCAGCCAGCCAAATCCCTCACACCTGCACCCCATTCACACAGGGCTGTAATTACATATTTAATGGAGATGTCTTTATCCTTTTTGGATTTTTTCAGGCCCCTCCACATCCTGATCTGCAATGCTGCTGTGTTTGGTGTTCCCTGGTCCTTGACAGAGGATGGCCTGGAGTCCACGTTCCAGGTGAACCACCTGGGACATTTCTATCTTGTGCAGCTCCTGGAAGATGTTTTACGCCAGTCATCCCCTGCCAGGGTTGTCGTGGTGTCCTCTGAGTCCCACAGGTTGGTGAATGTTAACTTTGGTTTTGCTGGAATCTTTAATCCTCAGAGCATGAAACAGTTTGGGCAGAGCCACAAAAGTTTCTGAAAATGAAGGTCCTTGCTCTCAAGCATTTGCCTTTGAGTAATCTTTTTAAAAATAGAAGCATTACTAATGCCTGTGGATGTTTCTGGATTTGGCTCTGCTGCTGGATAAAGCATGTTCTAGTTTTATAACAGTATGTAGATATTTTTTTGATCATTCTTTGTGTGAATGCAGATTTTTGCCGCGTTTCAGACCACTCATTGATTTTGTGAGGAGATGGAATAATAATTGATTAAATCTGAATGGCATGACCTATATTGATTTGTCATTCAACAACTTCAACATCTTAGCAAGAAGAATGTGCAGATATTTTAGCAGGAGAAACAATGCAATTAAAAACTGCTAGATGAAATCCAGTTGTTTTATAATGAGAAATTAGGGAATTGAATGCAGATATTAGCTGTATAATTGTAAAATGGGAAGTAATGTAGTTAATACATATTACAAATCTGGCTATGCCTCTTTTGGTGAATTTTTTAATTAAAATGTTAGATGCTCATCTTTTCTACTGCCAGGAAAAGTACAGTTGGCAAAAAAAGATGTTGATGAAGTTTGCCTTATTTCAGATGTACTTGTATTTTTGTGTTAATGACTGAAAAGATGGTTTTGATTTAAATAAAGTTCCTTGTGCAAAATGAATGCCCCAGTTCTGAATTTTAGTGGCTATGAACCACTTACTCCTTGCTGATTTAGTTCAAGGACTACAAGATTAAGCCTGGAACGTTCAGCTTTAAACATTACTGTTGATTTCTATTTCACTTTTGGTCATGTGTAGTAGCTCTAGCAAACTAAAAGGAAGAATGTGTGTGAGTGCCTTTTTTTTTTTTTATTTTTTTCCTGTCTTCATATTTCTGAAATGTTTTAGTGACCCAGAATGAAGCTTATTTTTTTTAATCATGTTTCCATAAAATGTAACCCCAGGGACCTGGTAGAGAGAGACCAGCCAAGGGTCGGGCTGAAACCTTTATCACTTCCAAACACAGGGGCTTATGGTATAAATGACACACTGCAGATAGATTTACTTTTACCATTTTAAATTTATGATGGCTGAAATGAAAGGAAGCAATAGAAAATGCCAGTAATAATCCTCCCCACTGTTAAAAGACATGAAATGTCTAGTAATTAGGTGGTAACAAAATCTGGACATCCTTATCTGTGCAAATCACACCAGGTTTGTGAAAGCAAGTAGCAGAGTCCTGTTAGGAGCGAGGGCAGCTACTGCAGGGCAGGAGAGATAGCTCTAGAAATAAATCTGCCAACTCCAATCACTTGCCAGATGTGGAGGGCACAATGGGATATGTATAAATGAGCTGTTATTTAATGGGAGATTATGTTGAATTGTCAGCTGCTTGTTCCCCCTTGTAAGTTTGTATCTCAGATAGTATTTTAAAAGACATCTTTGTTTTTCACTGCATTTAATTCTGTGTATAATCTCTGGACATCTTTATCTGTGTTTTTGAAAACATTTTGAAAGTGCTCATTGCTAAGTCAGAGAGATCAGCCAAGGTTTAGAGAAGCCTGTATGGAAATTCTACGTTTGAATAAAATAACTAAAACAACTAGTAAATATCCCTTTTTCTAAGGAGTCCAAATCATGTCTTGCAGCTTATCCTATCGCTTAGATTGATCATTGTGAAAACTGTGCTTTCCCCACCCCCAGTCTGTTTAATGGGAAGAAGTTTATGTAAGGAGTTAGTTAGGTATTATTAGGTAGTCGTTCTTTCTGACCTACTTGAGAACTCTGAGCCTTAAACCATGTCGTAAAACAGAAGTGTTGGTATCTAATTACTTCCATAAACCTTGACTGGATCTTTTTGCTGGAGTCAAGACCCCCTGTTAGAGGAAAAATAAAGTCCCATGTTAGCAGAAAATGCTATCCTGCACTGCTCCAAGGCAAAATATTTATTTGCCTCTTTGGTTCCCTGTTCATTTCTAGTTACTTCTCTGGGTTCAGCACAAATGAATTCTGTTTAAATTAAGCTTTTGGGTACTTTAAGCACATCATATTAAAATCAGAATAATAAGTAGGTTGACTTTCCTTCTGTCTTTATTTCTGTGTTGTTAATTTGATGGTACAGCCCTCATTCCCCTGAATTCAATGAGATTGACTCACATAAGCACACTTGCAGGACTGGACTCAAAATATGCCACCGTGTTCCCTTTATACAGTAACACACAAAGAGTTTTATTTATAGATTATATTTGGTGTCATGAGTGATTACTTGCAGGATGAATAGAGGAAATTCCTCCCAGAATAGTCCTGGTAATTTCAGAAATGTATTTTATCCAACTGAAAATTATGAAAGAGAAATTTTGTTGTTGGAATTGAAGGGCTAATTCTGCAAGACACAGAACATCCTGGGTTCCTCTTGAGTTCAAATACTGTATTGCTTTTCTCTGAGTGTATTATAATTCCACTCACAGAATGAATGTAGAAATTCCAGCTGATCTCTTCATTTCTGGGCACGAGATACGAAATTAGTAAAGATATTTTAAAACATTTTTCTAGTGTGTACTATAATTATGTTTATCCCTGTTCTCCCCAGCTGATTCTGAAAACTGAGTATTAAAAAGAGCTTGCTAAATCCTTTTTATTTTTAGTATCTCCTCTGAATGAAACATATATCTGTAACTAAATGTAATATTATTTTCCAATATTAAGATTTACCAGTAAATTAATAAATGAAATTGTAAGAACTGGGAGGAGAAATGCTTTATGGAAATTTCCTTCATCTAAATGTCTTTAGAACATTCACTACTTTGTTTCTTTCCTGTTTTTTTTTTTTTTTTAATAACAAACAGCTGGTGTTTAATGACTCTGTCAGACCCAATTAAAAAACGTCAACTAGTTACTTTGATTTGTGTTCAGCCATGCCATGGGTATACTTAAAAACATTATACTCTGCCAGAACTCATTTTGGCTTTGTTTACATTTATCTTTTAAACATATAAGACTATTGATGGCAAGTTACCAAGGTTATAACCCCTTTATATTCATCAATTTTTAATCTAAAAAAAAAGCTTAAGAGGCAGTGAGACTCATCCATAGTTACTTGAACACTTAAATGCAAGTGTGCTGCGTGTGAGTACTGGATGAAATGATCAGGGGAAAAGAGAAGATGCTGGGTTGCTCTGCTTTTAATGCAGTTATTTTATCCTACATTATTTCCTCCAAACTGATCATGCTTTTATGGATATATGGCAAAATCTGTGTTTTTTTTAGTTTAAAATAAAATTATTTTTAAGTTACACACAGTGTCTTTAAAGCATCAAAGCGTTTTCTGAGTTGTTTTTGTTTATTGGTTGCTGTTTCTAATTATCCAATAATTTTACTGCCATATTATATAGGACTGTTCCTTGGGTCTCAGGCAATTTCCAGTAGATGCTTTCAACTGCTAAATAAGCTGTTGTTTTATGTTAGTTCTGGCCAGGATCTACTCTGTTGTCTACATTTTATGTTGTTCTTAATGAGAGTGAAATTAACTCTGGGGTATCTCAGGCATATTTACTGTCTTTTCAGATTTACAGAAATTAACGACTCCTCTGGAAAGCTCGATTTCAGCCTGCTTTCTCCATCCAAGAAGGAATATTGGGCTATGCTGGCCTACAACCGCTCCAAGCTTTGCAACATCCTGTTCTCCAACGAGCTGAACCGACGCCTGTCCCCCCACGGGGTGACATCCAACGCACTCCACCCTGGAAATATGATTTATTCCTCCCTTCACCGTAACTGGTGGGTCTACACTCTGCTCTTCACCTTGGCTCGACCTTTCACCAAATCCATGGTAAGTGAAACTATTTTGTGCGTCCTCATTTTCTCAAATCGGGGCAGAAATGCTGTAAAAATCCAGAAATGTGTATCTTACCTCTTTGCTTTACAACCATGACCCTGATTTTAATGGCAAAACTCATGGCAAGACAGTGCTTTGGAAGAGGATTCTTCAACCACTTAAGATTTACTTTGTCAATCTTCTGTTAAGGAACCTTCTAGGAAGGAGTGCATGACCTTGTTTGAATATATGATTTTCACTGTGATTAAGTACATCCTATGTCTTAGGTGTGGGATAGTTTAGAGTTATTTCTCTGCTCAGGGTACGTAAAACATCAAAAAAATTGCTTTGGCTTTTAAGTGGAATATGTTGACTGCATTTTTTATGTAAACAGATGCCCTAGTTAGAAAAGATACTACAGACATTATTAATGGCTGAGGGAAAGTGCTTTCAGTGGTAAAAGCACCTTCATTCATATTTAAAAAAAAAGCAACAACCCAACAATTTTCCTGATTCTTGCAAAGTGCTGAAGACAATGGGTGTTTTCCATTTGCCTCCATTGGATTTTGGACTGGAACCATGGCATAATGAGAGGCTTTGCAGTTCTTCCATCACCAAGGTTATGAGTCTTTATTATGTAAGAATCTGCAGCACCTCCAGCACTTGGAGGGGTTACTCTTATCCTCTGAGCCAATTATTTATAAGGAGTCCAAAGTATTTTTCAGGCAGAGAATGGCACATTGAGAACTGGCTTCCTTTAACCTTATAGACTGTTCCTCATTCCTTTTTCACTGACAAAGAAGGGTGTTCCCAAAAAGATGAGCAGGGAGAAGGAGTCTCCTTTGAATGTTTGCTTCTATGAATCAGGGAAATGATACCCCTGCAGAATCTTAATTTATACTGTGATAATGTGTGTGGAAAACACAGGGTGTTTAAAATTCTCATTACACGTCCACAAAAGAAAAATGCTGGCTCTTCAGTAAGACCTGTGGAGCAAAAATACAAACACCCCAATGTTCACCACGTGTCAGTCAGGAGAGCCCTCTCACCTCCAACCTCTGCCTGCATTTTGCAGCCTGTACATATGCAAAGCCTTTTTATGTCCACAAGATTGATATGTGAGTGCTTTGGCACCTTGGGACAAGTAATAATATCTTTCAACAGCACGTTTTTTTGACCAGGACCTATAAAACCATGTCTCTGCTGTGTTAGGGATTGTTTGTAAAACAAATTCTTGAAGTTCTCCTGAGAATGTGTAAGTGAATGTTATCAAAATCATGTGAAAATGATCCAGTCTATGGACATTTATGAATTGTTTTATTTACTCTGATGTATTTCCACAAAGGGAATCTTTTGTGTTTGTTGCTCAGGGAATCTCATCCTCTAAGGAACAAAATAAAACACTGATGTTAATCTTGAATTCTTTAAAAGAATTTATAGATTTTTAAATAGTGTCTATTAATGGGTATTAAATATAAGAGAATTCAAAGTACAGGACAAAGATATCAGCTCTGAATAACAGTGCACTCCAGTCCAACCCAAATCCCTTCTGTTAAGTCCTTCATATTTGTATTTCACTGAGGTTATTTGAATGTCATGATGGAGGGTATGGGCTGAGGTTAAGCATCAGCTTTACAGCTCTCATTCTGATATGAATTGTTCTGTTCCCCTGAACTCTACCAGTGTTTCAATAGCCAGTAAAACTAGAAAAGTGCCCCTTCCTGGGCATGCAAACAAGCTGAGCTGAAATTCTCAACATCATCAGTGTAAGAGTTTCTATTTTAAGGCTTGTAGGGGGCAAATGATTTGCTGCTGCTGCTTCATTTTTAGGCATTGTGCTGTTACCAACTTGGAATAGGCTTGGTTGGGGATCTTTTTCTGGGCTTCCTTTCCATGTTCCTGTGGCAGCTCACCCTGGAGTTTAAATGAGTGTTTTGGTCAGAATGTTGGGAGTGATCTCAAAGCTTTTACAGCTGCAGTCCCAAGGTGGTGAGCTGCTCATTCCCGAGTTTTCCAAGGATGCCTGCATTGCACAATGCAGCATGATGCAGCAGCATTTTAAGTAGCTCCAGCTGAGCTGGGCCAGTCACTGGAATTGAGATTGGAGACAAGGTTGTGTGGAGAGAGGGGAGCTCTGCCAGCCCAGACAAGGAGCCACACAGAAATGCCTGGGCCTGTTTTGGTCTCTGAGGCTGTAGTTTTATCTGCTGCAGCATTTTGGTGTGGGAATAAGGCCAATCCTTCCTAGAGCCAGTTTGAAACTATATATAATGTATATATATACTTTTTTTTACATTTATATGTGTATGTCTGTATATACACACACAAAGAAACTGCAGCTGCACATACTTGATGCTAAGGCCTTCTTTTATTATCATGGTCCCCAGGAAGTAGTTTGAAGTAGAGCAATGGAAACTGAAGATATTCCTTTCTTTTCCACCCATCTCTTTAAGAAATCTAAAATCCACAAGGATTTCTACATAGAAATTCAGAAGAAGCATTTGTAGAAAGAAATAGTTAAAAATAAATGACCATTTTATTATTAGCTCTAACTCTAGTAATGTCAAAAGGCCTCTTTTTTTACTTACCACTAAATAGTTAGTAAGTTGGAGATGCTTAGATTATAATTAAATATCAACTAAGAGTGGCCACTGTAAAAAAGAAATTGGAAGAGAAGCTCTGAAAGTAACTGTGTGGGCCATGCATATATTTAGCTGGTTTGATCTAAAGCTCTAGGGTTTTTTTGTTTTTTTTTTTTTTTCCTTTCTACCTCTTTTACTCCCTTCTATCTTGCCCTCTCTAAAAACTGACTCGAGAAAAATTTGACTGAGTTGTTTTTTTTGTTTGTTTTAAATAGAACTCATCTGATTTATCATTATTTACATACAAGACTAAAATTAAATATATTACTGTAAGGTTCGAGCTTACACTGAGTGTGGTATCCAGTGTCACCCCAGGTGATTTTCAGTGTCCAAGGGCATATAAAATTATAAGCAGAGTGCTATTATCACACAGTCTTACATAGACCCAAATATTTTTGTTGGCAGGTAACAGAGCAGAAAGAATATCATGTGTTAGAGTAGCAAGAGCTTAACAGATGTTTCGGTGAGCTGTATTTTCAAATGCTTTCACATTAAGAAATGGCTGGGCTTTGGGGAAGTTCTGAGACTATTGGGTTACATTTCCTGTTGCAGTGCAAAGCCAGCTATTGTGTTGGAATTGTAGCAGATGTGTCACCCCCTTTTAATGATTGGGAGTAAAACGTTGGTTCTGTTGCTGAGATATAAATTATATTTATAAAAGCTCAACTTGTCCCCCTTAGAAGCCAGTTAGAAGTAGTAGGACCATTCTGCCCTTAGTTTTTCACTGTGTAAGAGACTGATGCTTGAGGTGCTCTTTGATTTCTCCCTTCTCCCCCAAAGATAGTAACCTTCCAGAACTAGATTTTGTATTTGAAGTATTGCTGTTGAGAATATAAGGAATATTTCTAAGAGCCCCAAAGTCTTCTGCATGTCTAATTTTTATGTAAACCTATGAATTCTTGTCACAGGGATGTTTTCCCAGGGGTGTTTGAGGCAGTAGCCCTGTAATGAAGTGTTCATGCAGGAAACCCCAGTGCCTACCATGGCTTCACTGGGTTTACTTTTGCCATAAATTGGAAGTGTCTAAATTTAAATTTCATGTGATGATTTCCATGCACTTCTAACATCAACTCAGAAATGTTATTCTGGCAAGAAATCAATCTGCATCTACAGGAGTGACTGCAACCTAATGATCACATCTGTTTGCTTTTGATAGGAGCCCAAAAGAGGCCCTGCAGCCTCATCACCTCTTTGCTTTCTCCCCATCCTTTGCTGAAGAAGCTGGAATTACCCTTAGAGCTGGGGATAGAATTCCCTCTCCAGGCAAACATTTTTTGCTGTCCAAAGATCTGTGTGGGCTGTGTTGAGTTGATGTTGGCTTCCATTTCTAAATTCACAGTTCAGGCCAAATTCTGCCCTCAGCTCTGCCTGTTTAGCCCCAGGAGCAGCCCTGGGCAGGGTGGGTATGAGCATGTTCCAGCACAGAATTTGGCCTCTATTTCCTTCCTAAAGACACTTCTAAAAATGCACTGGGGTTTCTTGAAAAGCAAGAGGCAGCTCTTTTTGAAAAGGGCCGCACAGTTCATGTTTGATCAAATTGAGTTTCTTTTCTCAGATTGAGTTCTGGGCAGGAAGTGAAAGAGGATGGGAGAGTGAAAGGGAAATAGCCACCTACTGGATATTAGCACTTGTAGAGAGTGAATAAATCCCATGGACAGTTCTCCTGCTTTATGGATTAATGCCTCAAGAGTAAATGTTGAAGTGATGCTAAGCCACAGCTCTCCTCTTTAACGTGCAGGTTTGTGGACCTTACCTCCAGTACCATGCAGGGACAATTATTTTATTAACTCTGATAGTGTGTGCTTCCTTGCACAAAATTCCTATTTAAAATTGACTGAATTGGGTAAAAGGAAGGACAGCTTATGTGGAAGAACATTTTCATTTTTTGTAATAGGATGGTAAAAAGATGCCTCCCAAGTAGTTGTTGATCATTTTGTGTGTCCTATCCAGCAATAAAATGTAATCTAAGCCAGTTTATTATCAAACTTACATTTAACTGATACATATTTTAACTTGCTGCTAAAATAAATGTAGCATGAAATATAAGGGCAAATTAAATTTGTCCCCTGTAACCTACACCACAGGAATGGAAAGTCTCTATGGAAACCTATCCCTGTGCCAAAGTGAACAGGTCAGGATTTCAGAATGATGCTCAAGGGGAGCAATGGCAAATGGAATTTGCTGTGTCCAGCACAGCCCCATAGCTGTCTGTGGAGCAGCTCTGTTTTTGTCCTGTAATTTTGTGGAGGAAATAAAACATTTCTTCCTCCCCGCCAGATCCTTGCAGAATTTCAGAATGCTTTAACTATGTGGGCTGCAAGGCAGGGAAATATTAGGTCCTTGATATTTGATATTGCATGCAATTAAATTAAAATTTTAAATTAGAAAAGATTTCTCTATATTTTCAAACTGAAAAAGCCCTTTCTTATTGTGATTTCTTCTCTTTTACTCACCATCACTTATGGAGCTAAAGTGCACCTGGAGTGCTGTGGGGTCTCTGAGGTGCTGTGCAGCATTGATCTGCTCAGAATGTATTTGAGAAACCATAAGGAAGGAAATTTCTGTTACATTATGAGTGTTGAGGTGCTTGGGTGAAAGGAGTGGTGCTGCACTCTGATGGAAACAGATGAACAGGATGTTCAGTTTTGAGTTTGTTTTTTTTTTTTGTCCATTTAATTTGTTTTTTTTATGTCTTCACTATACTCAGTATTATGAATTTGCCTCATCATTATGGCAGTGTTCTTGAGATCTTTTTCATACTGGAACATCATGAGTTGTGTTCTGTCCTAAAAATCAATCAACTACTGCAACAACTGAAAATAAGGAAGGCTTTGATTCTCCATGAGTAAAGATGACGAAAATGTGAACTGTGAGTTTGAAGAGACAGTAAAAAATAATAATTTTTTCAAGTATTAGGCAGTGAAATTCTGTAGTTCAGGGTCTTTTTTTAAATTGTGCATTTATTTTACATATTGCTGTGCAGATATTCTCTTTTTGCTGTCAGTTATTCCAAAAATAGATGCAGAAGTTTGTGGGGGAAAAAAGGGGTTCTCGTTGTGGGAATCTGTGTTTTCAGTTTTGTGGTTTTATTCTCTTTTGTCAGCAAAGAAAATAGCTAATAACAGCATTAGAAAATTTCTAGATTATATGTACAACCTCTTGGCCTGACTGATTAGAAATAAGGTCTCTCTCAAAAGTGGGTGTGTGCTACTTGGCTGCATAAACACCTTGTTAAAACTGGTTCTGTAGAGGTTTGTGACACTTCTGGTTTTGTGGCCACACACAAAAAAATTTCTTCTGTAGTTCACATAAATCTAATCTATTTGGACAAGCTTTGCTAAGAAAAAAGCAAAAGAATTTATCATAGAACTTTGTTAAAAATAATTGGGAAGAAGAATGTAAGGGAAAATTCACTGCAAGGAACTTTCTGGGTGCATCACATACTTGGGTTGTAGAATCCAAAAACTATAAACATTGATGTTCATATGCTTTTTCTGGTTTTAGCCATCAACAGTAACTTTTGCTGGGAATAATCTAGTTTGAAATTAAGTTTTGAGGGTTCTTTTAAAAGCTGAAACAGATTGCCTCTATTTTTCATGCACTTATTTAGTGTCTTAACTTGGGACAGTGGCAGCAATGGTCTGAACCACTTTTTGATATTTTCTGGCCTGGATCTCAACGTATTTATGAACTGAGCTAGTAATTCTATCTTTGCTGCTGATTTTCCTTTGTCCACTCCTAATCTGCTCTCAGATTATGCTAGATATTATTGGATGAATAATTTCAAAAGGTCTGGTAAACAAAAGGACTTGGATAGAATAATCCTGTACTTTCTGCCTAATCTGTGACCTAGTGAGCAGTGAAAATTGGTGTTTGACATCACTGTGCCTTGCTGAAGACCAAATGTGGGTGTGCCCAAAGTTCCCCTTTGATTTTTGCTGCTCCAGAGCCCAGGGGTGCCCCTGGTACCCCAGACCCCTCCAGGGGCTGCAGGGGGGACTTCAGAGTTTCTCATTTGTGAGCCTGGGCAAGGTCACTTACACGTTTTGCTGTAAATAGAAATACAACCCAGACCAGCTAGCACATAAATCACAAGATTATTTATTTTCTTTAGTAACTAGAGAGTAATAGAGATAAAATTTTTATGAATAACTGTAATCAGAGCAAAGTCAATGTGCTGAGGTTCTTGTATAATGATCCAGTGAGCTGCTGCATTGTAGAAAGATAATATCAAATATTCAGTGATAAAGTTTGAGGTTTTTTTACTAGCAATGAGTTTTTAATCACTTTTTATAGAAAATTAGTCTTTTTTGGGGGTTATTCATCCTAGGAAAGAGGATGTAGTATTGCAGTAACTAAAGGAGCCCCAAGGGAGCTGGGAGGGACTTTTTTTACAGGGACATGGAGTAGCAGGACCAGGGGGAATGGCTTCAAATTGATAATGGGCAGGTTTGTTTCCCTGTGAGGGTGGGGAGGCCCTGGCACAGGTTGCCCAGAGAAGCTGGCCAATGATGATCCACACATTCGAAGTTCAGAAAAATAAATATTTTTGGATGGAGTTGAGTTTTTATTTCTTTGACCCTTAGAAGTTAAAATCCTGAGTCCAAAATTAAAATGGTAAATGGTAAAAGTAATGAAATTACATAATTGAATGTTGTTAGTCCATGTAATTTTGTGATCATAACTCACAGAGCAATGTAAATTTTGTGGATTCTAGGACATGGTTCATCTTTCCTCACTTTTTTTCCCCAAGTTTCTATTTATGAATGGATAGATGTTCAGGAAACCCAAAGCTTTTGTTGGCCCTGGGTAGAATAGATGAAATACGAAGTTTTTTTGGTTTTTTTTTTTTTTTTAAAGAATGTAGTGTAGATCCTATGCTATGAAACTATCACTTAAATACTGTTCCTTAATTGGGGGATGCAGTGCTTAGTTACCTTATTTCCCTTGAACCACTTGGATATCTGAGATGCTTTTTTGTACCATGGTCTTTTCATTTCTCACTCTATCATCTTTGAAGAGGTGCCATACCACTTTAAACAGTTCACCAATCAGTTTCAGATGATGAATTCTCTTTAATCATTTACATCCAGAGAAAGTCAAATATTCCTTAGGAAGCCAAAGTAATCTAACAGAATGTATAGTGTTTGTGCAGCTGGATATCTTATTTATTTGAAGTTCTCAGGGAAATCTCTTCTGACTTTACAAAAAAGATGGAAGAGTAAACAGCACCAGAGTCCAAGTAATATGAGCTAGAAAGTCCCTTCTTTTAGAGAAAAGTCATTTAAAAAGTGTATTTGCAAGGTCCAAAAATAATAATGTATATCAAATGCAGAGTGCTACATAATGTTTTTTCAATATTCTTACTATTTTTACTTGTGTGTATATATATGTGTGTGTGTGTATGTACCTACATATCTATCCATCTATAGAGGTGAAAAATACACTTGAGTCTTTCATATAGTTCATATTCCTGAATAGGTGAACACAATAAGGGTCTGTTTTCTGAAAAAAAATTCATTTGTTTGTTTTTTTACTGTGTGACATGTCATTTATCATCATCTTGGCATTCCCTGGATACAACTGCATAACTGAATTAACCTTCCTAAAAACTTCCTTCCAGGAAAGCTATCAAAAATATACATGTATGTACAGAAATATGAATATTTCTAGGCTTTTGGGAGGTATCCCACTGTGATGCTAATCCTGTTTCTAGTTCCTGTCAGTTCTCTATTCCAAATGTTATTGTATATACAGATCTTTTTCTTCTACCTGAGGAAGATTTAGGGGAACTTGCTGGGATGGTTTTGTTGGGTTAGGTTTTTTGTTTCTTTCTCTCTCTCTCTCTCTCT